TGCGCTACGAGAAGGCAGTGAGTAGGGCTTCTTGAGCAGCGGTTATTAGAGACCCTTGGTCATAATGAAGCATTTCGCGAGGTGCAAGGGACGGGTGACCAGCCGCAACCCTAGACATCCACCCCCGACCATACTGAGGCTTTTGGAGGCGGTTCGAGAAAACGGCTATTTGGTAAATTCATCTGTTCTCATGCGCTGACTCCACCGTTCTTTTGTTCGACAGACCGAAAAACAGTTGTACAAGCCGAAACATTCGGAAATGTCCAGGAGTTCTAAAACCGACCGTCCGTATATGTTCGCAAAGGATCGTACAGTTAGGAGAAAACTTGGACAAAGCATCGTGTTAACAAAAACACATAATTTGCATTGTCACTATAGGACAGAACATCACTTTCGCAGTAAATTGGTCCCGTTTTCTACGGATTATTTTCATGAATGCTTTTAGTCTTACATCATCTATTTTTAAGGAAGAACCATTAGATACCATGAGAGAAAAGGTGAACCTTCCCATTCATGTCTGTTTATGCATTCTTGTTTCACAAGAGCATTCAAAATGTGAACCAGAATTACAATAGTCCTTAGAGCCGCTGATTGCCACTGGTTTGAGTATGAGCTTCGGGATATAGAGGTTGAAACGTCACAAAATGTGAAGCAGAGGGGGTGAGGAGGTGATGATAGAAATGGACGTCTGTTTACACCAGTGTCATACAGATTGATCATATACAGAAAAGCATCCAGAATGTAAGCCAGTTAGTCAATGAATCACCCCACTGATATCTCCATGTCTATTCTATCTCTATCCTGACAAAACCTCGACGCATTCTTTATTTCTTTCTTTGTGCAAACCAAAAGGACACGGAAATTCGTGAATTGAAGTCCACCGTGGATCAACTACGGAACGACATGACCAAAATTCGGACAACACAGCTCACTCCAACCGGTTTACATCCAAGACCTCCACGATCAACATCATGTCGTGCGATACCGGACAATCTAAGACAACGTGAGTTACTGTTGCGTTACTCCTGCTTTGCCAGTCTATTTCTCCTACTGCTGATTTGTGTATCAACTCAGGGTCACAGGAAGAATTTTTTCACGGGCAGTTTTTGTATTCTTCTGCTGTTCTAGTTTTTATTTTTAGAAATTTTCCCCACGTTACTCGTTGCAACGAGCCGATAGAAAGGCATTCTTTGTCTGTGACACCGAATACTCGTTTAGTTTGCCAAAACTGTGTAAACTCGTTTCACTTCTGTCACACTGAAATCAGTAGACAAACGATCATCCGGATGAGACTTCCCACAATTGCCTACATTGGTCTGCTGGTGACGAAAAATGAGCGCCATTTTTCTTCACTTTTGTCGTTCTGCTGTCACCAGCGAGAAAAGATTCAGTTCGAAACTGTACTTGGCAACCCAAGTGATAGAATTACTGTGCCGATGGGGGAACAAAGGGCGATCCCCTGGAAAAATAATCACCTACAATGGATAGCAATTGATAATGAAACCACTATTGTGTAGGCTTATTGCTGAAAACGAAATATTCACGTTTATCATCCTCAAATGTTTGTCGTCATCCGTTGTACTCCGATGAATTTACACTTCCATAAGAGCCACATTAACATGTGTTACACAGGATCCCTTGAGAGTAAACAATTTCGGTTGCCATGTTCGTTCGAATACTCTTACTGCATAGTTTCGACAAATGGCAACCTGTTTTATTCGGTAACTTACCTATTCCTCATTTGATTGGATGATTTTAACTCAGACAATTCCCCTTATTCGTTAACGGAAGTCATCAGGTTGTTGGAGTCAGTTCCTCTGACGAGCTAATGAGTCCCCAAAGTTCCGGGTTTGCCGCCCGTCACCAGCGCTACCCATGTTTGGTGGTCAATCCCACGCCCATCCCATTCGTGGGATCTTATGTGATTACCTACTCTATGTTGTTTGTATTTGTATTTATATAACTTACATTTCAGTTAAAAATGTGCACCGCTCGTTACGCGGAATAAATAATAATAATAATAATAATAATAATGAAATATAACACGAAAGGTGAAGAATATTGCTGATATTTGTTTCATGTACAAAACCTTGAACGTATTTCACTTGCAAACTGTTCCTTTTTGGTTAGGAGTTGGTCCAGGTATAATTGGTATAATTGGTAATTGGTGTATAATTGGTAATGCCAGAGGATATATGCCAAAATGAGGAGCGTGTGGACGGATGGGAACGACAAGACGATCGATCAGAGTGCAGCGATTGAAGAGGGTCATCTAGAATCTAATGGACAAATTTAACACAATGATTAATATGACATCATCAATGAGTCCCGTGATTAATAAATCGATCGGAATTAATGATGCCCGACTGATAATCATGAAACCACAGCAAATTGTTTTTAAGTCTTGTTTTAAAAGACTGGGAA